ATTACAACCTGGAATTAAAATTCTTGGGGGGTTGTACCATTTGATTTACACAACATTCCTACCACTTTGAAGGTGCAAAATTTTTTTTATTGTGACACAAACATTAAAAATGGGTTGTGTTGGTGTACAGCAATCTTCAAGTCATGCCACAGATTCTCAGTTGGATTGAGGTCTGGACTTTGACTAGGCCATTCCAAGACATTTAAATGTTTCCCTTTAAACCACTCCAGTGTAGCTTTAGCAGTATGTTTAGGGTCATTGTCCTGCTAAACATGGTGAATCGCCATCCCAGTCTTAAACCTCTGGCAGGCTGAAACAGGTTTTCCTCAAGAATTGCCCTGTATTTAGTGCCATCCATCTTTCCTTCAATCCTGAACAGTTTTCCAGTCCCTGTCAATGAAAAGCATCCCCACAACATGATGCTGCCACCACCATGCTTCACTGTAGGAATGGTGTTCTCTGGCTGGTGGGAAGTGTTGGGTTTGCGCCACACATAGTGTTTACCATGATGTCAAAAATAGTCTCATCTGACCAGAGAACCTTCTTCCATGTGTTCGGGGAGTCTGCCACATGTTTGGCGAACTCCAGACGTGTTTTCTTATTTTTTTTCTTTAAGCAATGGCTTTTTTTCTGGCCACTCTTCCATAAAGCCCCGCTCTGTGGAGTGTATGGCTTAAAGTGGTCCTGTGGACAGATACTCCCATCTCCGCTGTGGATCTTTTCAGCTCTTTCTTGAATCTCTGAAAGGAGCCTTTCAGAACAGGTGTATTTCTACTGACATTATGTCACACATCATGTGACACTTTGATTGCACACAGGTGGACCTTTTTTGTAAACAAGGTACTTTTTTCATTCCACTTCAACATTTCGGACTATTTTGTTAGGTCGATTGCATAAAATCCAAATAAAAATCAATTTTAATTCCAGGTTGCAATGCAACAAAACAAGAAAAACATCAAGGGGTGTGAATACTTTTGCAAGGCATTGTATATAAAGGCCCATTGCAGATGAAGATCTATTTCATTTCATGTTTAAATGTCATGAACACTCAGTAAATATGTACTGATAGACAGATTAGACTAAATTCATTCAGAATATTACTTAAGGTAGATTTAGTGAAGTATGCAAGTATGCATTACTATATGCAAAATGTTGATGTTATTGGTGGCATTTGTACCTTATACTGTTATATGTATATAAAACTGGCGAATGCAGATTTCTATTAAATCTATAATCAGTTCAAATCAATTTATTTATATAGAGCTTTTAACAATGGACGTTGCCACAAAGCAGCTTTACAGAAATCCAGATGTAGATTTATATTTAGATTCCTAATGAGCAAACCAGAGATGATGGTGGCAAAGAAAAACTCCCTGAGAAGACATGAGGAAGAAACTTGGAAAGTGACTCAAAATGGAACCCGTCCTCTTCTTGGAGTCACAGGACAGTGCGAATATAAATCATTACTCTTCCACAGTTATATACTATAAAATCAAACCGTACTAAATGTGTTGGAAAGATGTTCAGTGTGAGCATCAGTTCTTAGGTACATTCTACAGTATCCAGGTGAGATTATACACTGTTGAGACTTAAACTGTTTTTGGGAAGTGCACATCTTTAGCTTATCCATCTGGGACCATCCACAGCAGGAGAAAGTGAGTCAGAAGTGGACAGTCTCCAAGCAGAAGAAGTATCAGGATAAACAAGGCAGATCAAGTCAGTAGAGCTAACATACAATACGTACATGCTAGCTCTTAATTCTGTGGATGCCATGTACTCTTGTTTCAGTAAAAAAGAAAAAAATGCTGTTGTGCCAACATCCCAATTAGCAAGGGAGCTACATATGATATTGCTAAGACATAAATTGTGCTTTCTGGGATTCTGGTAATGATATGATCCTCAATTATATTATAAAACGATGATAAATGTCTACATGAAATATGTTGGTGGTAAGGTCAGTTTTAATGCAGGCTTGTTTTGCAGCCTTCATGGGACCATATAAAGATTGGAATGAATATTTTTTATGTGTTTTATGCTCTTACACATGTCCTTTTGCTTACTTGTTCATTGAGGACACTGTAAAATAACATATACAGCAAAATAAATGAAAAGAAATTGTATATGTGTGTGAAAACAATTCTTATTATCATGAGCAAAATGGTTATTGAACTCATTACAAAATAATAAAAGAAAAATTAGCAAATGGTTTTTTAGAGGAATCAGGATATGTGCATGGGCATTGATTTTGAAACAAACCAGTTTTGTTCATTTTAAACTACTTCAAACCAATGACTGTAATTATTATTGAGTTGGAAATACACTGAATAAAACACATATTTTGAGTTCTGGATCGTGTTTGGTAAAGAATTTATATCAAGTGCATACTTTTCCCAAACAACAGCGTTACAAGTGCCTGATGTTCGCTGATCCTCTAAATGTACTTGCTCTTAATATACACTCTTAATATACACTCTAACGTTTGAGCTAAATCTGTTTTTAGCTGCATGTCTGTGTTTCTGGATGCCATCGGGCTCCTCACGCTCTCATGCTTGCTCCTGTGGGCATGAATATTGCATAATGAACCCGGGCAGCAAAAGATCGCAGATGTTATTTTGGGTCAAGCTGCCAGCTACTGGCTACATTGTGTGTGTTTGTGTGCGCTCTGACAGATGGGTGGCCTGGCTCACTCCCACAAAAACAATGGACTGGTTTGGGTTGTGTTGATTTATTTGTTCTGAAGTCCGTTTGGACACTTTGCTTGACATCAATGCCAATGTGGGATATACTCGATCACTCAAAACATAACCTTAATGTAAAAATAACAGGCCAGCATTGTTGGCTGACGGATGATAAATGGATGAGGATGTGCTATCAAAATTTTATTTATTTATTTTTTTATTGGAAGGTCCAAAAGTTTAACTCCACTACCAAGCGGATTTATTTTTAAAGTCAAATCAGTTTATTATTATTATTATTATTGTTATTATTATTATTCACGAATAATGTCATGTTAAGCTGAGACAAATACTTTAAGAAATAAATATTTCAACATCCCTGATTATTCTGTTTCCAAATATCTAAATTTCCCCCAAAACATTATTATATTGTGTATTTCATTAAAATACGCTTAAGCATGTAAGCTCTTAATATACAGCGGTAATTGTTGTAATCTCTTGCATAATGAATAATCATCCCTCCTGCTTCCAGTAAATAAGAATTTTACTTAGTAAATCACAATGTTAATTTGTTTGAAAAATATAACACATTGATTTTAATTTTGTGTTATTTTAATACAGTATAGTTAGGTTTTTTGAATATTTGCCAATTGGCAAAATTGGAAAGTCTTATACAGTCCTTGCCCTTTGGAATTGCCCTACTGTTTTACACCTTCAAATTTCAAGCACTGTATATTATATTTTTAGGAAATAAATGTGACATTACAAACCTGAGCTCATAATAAATTCATGCGTATTCAAACACTTAGGGTGATTTTGCTATAAGAAATGACGCAAATTCTAACCCTCTGTTGTCCTTTCTCTAATAGCTGGCTTTATTTGATTGGGTGCCCAAGCCTGGCAGAGATGACCTCGGAGGCTACCAGGTGAGAGGCAGTGGCACGGGGAGATGCCAGTCTGGCAACTTCCTAGCTCACAGTGCCCATCTGCTGGTTGTCTGTATGGGAGGAGGGCGGGATAGTAGGCAGGATCTGAGCCACCTGTCAAAGTCAGCATCGCATATTTGAGTACATAGTTTGGTACGCATGTATGTGTAGACCTGTGGACTTCAACATTTATAAGCCTATAATATATTTACTTTTTTTCATTAAAATTTTAAGCCCAAATCAACTACTACCACTACTACTGCTACTATAAATACTACTAGTATTAGTATCACTACTACTTCTACTACTAACACTACCAATACTACTACTATTACTATTACTACTACTGCTACCATTTCTACTAATAATATTACTAATACTACTGCAACTACTATTACTGTAACTATTACTACCAAAACTATAATTATCGCAACTAGTAATATAAATACTACTACTATTAATGTTAATACTATTACCACTACCACCACTAGGCTGGTCACAATATTCAATGAGAGGACTCCTTTTTAATATTTTAATACCCATCAGTATGTCAGCATTAGTATTATGAAACCAATAAGTATAGCACGGGTCTGATCATAAGCATAAAATGTATGGTTCGTTCATCCCATTGTGTAATTTGTAGCTTAGATTAGACAGTGTAGTCTATTTACTTCTTTTACCTCCAAATGCATTTTGAAAAATTATTGACTAAGACTGAAGTAATCCATCTTGTTCATAACACTTGCTACTATAGTTCACATGCAGTCACTGCTGACGATGTGTTACAGACGTGTCAGCAAAGTGGGCTTAAATATAAAAATGTACAGGAATATGAAATGTACGGGGCGTTTCACTCTGTGTAAACACTTGATAAGACTGTAATTGATAGGCTGCCAGAATCTACATTGCAATGTATGTGTAGGACAACATGCATTTTTCTGTAAAGTGAAGGGCCTGGGCCCTCCTTGAACATTTATAGTAACCACCCCAGCTACAGCTACTACTAATAATAAATGAATCACGGTAATTATTTAATTACTCCACTCTACTCAAGCATGTCCTGCATAGTGCATTCAAAAGTACATATTAATTTACTCATGTCAACTTTCAAAATATGCAACAGAAATTCAACATTTTGTAGAGTTATTTATTTCTGTAAAATGCACATGTTCATGTTAGTTCATATTTAAAAATACATGTGAATTTACTCAAATCACTTTCAAAATGTTCCTCTTTCGGCTGCTCCCGTTAGGGGTCGCCACAGCGGAGCATTGGTCCACGTATTGGCACAGATTTTACGCCAGATGCCCTTCCTGACGCAACCCTCCCCAGTTTTATCCGGGCTTGGGACCGGGACTGAGAGCACACTGTTGCATGCAACCCCAGTGGCTGGGGTTGGTTCCCTGGCCAGGAATCAAACCCGGGCAGCAGCAGTGAGAGTGCTGTGTCCTAACCACTAGTCCTCCAGGGACCCACTCAAATCACTTTCAAAATATGCAACAGAAATTCAACATATGGTAGAGTCAATTATTTCTGTAAAATGTACATGTTCATATTAGTAACATATTGAATCTAAGACATGTCATATCCTTTGTAATTCAGATTCTAGGTACATACAGTGAGGCTAAAGCAGTTTGTCTGATGTTGATTTTATTATTTTCCTCTCTGGGATCCAAAATATGCATTCACTTTTGAATCAAAGGATACAGCAAAAGGTCACCTCTCTTTAATAAAAAAATCTCAAAAAGCCTCACTTCAAGTTCAGTGTCACTTTGCAAACAAATCAACTCAATGTTTATGTTTTTGGCAATGCAAAGACCTTCTCTAACATAGCAGACACCTTTCAATTCGTGTAGCCATGAAAGAGTTTGAGATAAACATCACATCGTGTTCCATGTCATTCAGCTCCTAAAAACACTGGCTGAACTCTGTCCTGGTGGCCACAGAAGTGTTTCAGGCTGAAATGCATCACTGTCAGATATCTTTTCCACATTTGGTAAGTGTGCCAGCTTTCAGTTCCTCAGATGGGTGACCCACACACTCCGCTTCACCCTAAGTGTATTCTCTGCACTGATCACGTGTTGGATGTCATCATCTTCTCCTTGTAGCTGAAGGTTAAGCTTGTTCAGTTTTTTTTTCTGTCAGCTCAGATAAAGAATGTGACACTAGGTTACACTGCAGGCAACAGTGTCCCGAATTCCAGTCCAATCTTTTCCCTTGTATGTGACACAGATCTGGCTTTTTCATTCCATTGTGAATAACAAAAAATTATATCGCTTCTGACAGTTTCAACTCTGATTTGAGCCACTTTCATATGTGGGACTGAAATCCGACACTGATATACAGTATAGCAATGTGACCTCAGTCTGTATAATCAGATCAGAATTCATGCAACATCGATCCAACTTGATTTTTGGGTGTCAAATCTTGTAAGATTTATGAAAACTCCTTGCTGCATCTGGCTTTACTTGTAAAACGTTTACAAATCTAGGTCCAGCCTGCGAGTTGCATTGAAATATTTTGCTATTGCTGTTGAATTGTTAAATCTGATTGGTCAGAAGGAATTGATTAATTTTCTGTGACCGAACAACTCTGACACTAGTGCTAGCTTTAGTTCAATCCACATGCTTATATTAATGTGTTCTCACATTATAGTAATGGCTCATTCACATTGACCTACAGTATATGGTAGACGCTCCACATAATCTAAACCTAATAATAAACAGATTAAAAAACCTTTTTTCAGTAACATGACAAGCTCTGCTTTCTTGTCTTATTAACCTCAAGATACAGTAGAGAAAAAACAGAGGCTGGTGAGGGGTGAATGTTTATAGCTGTTATACCATAAGTGATAACAGGAACTGACTTGTTTTGTGGACATTCCACAACATTAAATGTAACTATAAATGGCTAAAAAGCATGGCATGCCATTCACTAATGAATTAAAATTTTTACTTGTTGTCAAATTGCTGAGGTAGAAGCATGACAGAATGCTCTGTTATTCAAAAATAATCAACTTTGGGGTGATAACATTAACTCCGTCTTTTTTGTCAGCTGTTGATTTATTCCATGGGTTTTATACCCTGCTTATTACACAGCTTGACACTAACATGAAGCAATGTAATAAAGTGGCATGCATAACAAATAATCAACTTTATTTGTTAAGGTATGGATCAATTCCCTGGACCACAGATATGTTTGAAAACGGATTTCACACTCGACTGTGCATACAGAGTGAACTCTCACTGAAAACAATTTCAGGTCCAGAGAAAAAGTAGCAGAGAGCCAGCATGATTGTAGGTGTGTTAGTCTCCAGGTGCATTTGAAAAATCTCTTGCTGGTGATATTTGTGAAAAAACAAATTTGAGCCATGCAAGTAAAAAAAAAAATAATAATAATAATAAAGGAAACAAAGTGTTTTTCGAGTATTAATTTTTCTTTAATGTTTAAAATTTTCCTTAATGTTCAACTGAATTCTGTACAGTTGTGTACAAACATTGCTCTACACTAACTGGTAGCACAGTATTGAGAGTGTGTACATGCTACTTCTGTTTGCAAGACTGGGAGAAACAGTGGGTGCATGAGTACAATTGTAACAACTGTTATTAAAATGCATCTTGCTTCAGAGGCTCTCAGACCCTTAAGAGGCAGAAAAGATTGTGCACACACTAATTCCCATGCTTGCAAGGATGAATTGCAAATTGATGCAGAGCTCACAATGACTTCTTCCTTAAAAAAAAAAAAAATCATACAATTATAGTTAACCCTAGGGTGCATGGTGTCTTAGTGGTTAGTACGTTTGCCTCGCACATGTGGGGTTGGGGGTACAAATCTCACCTCTGCCCTGTGTGCATGGAGTTTGCTTCAGGGGTTTCCTCCGGGTACTCCAGTTTCCTCCACCATTCCAAAGACTGATTGGCATTTCCAAATTGTCCGTAGTGTGTGAGTGTGTTTACGATTGTGCTCTGCCTTGTGCCCCGAGTTCCCTGGGATAGGCTCCAGGCTCCAGGCTCCCCGTGACCCTGTGTAGGATAAGCAGTATGGAAAATGGATGGATGCATAGTTAAACCATATACTGTATCATAATAATAAAGATTACTATGATATAACAAAAAAATTAAATGGAAAAACTAAAAACAAACAACAAAAAAAGGATGACATTTTATAAGCTCTGCATCATCAATTAATTGATCTACTGTATATTTGCTATGCAATTGATTTACAGTATAAAAAGTTAAAACATTAATATTAAAATTGTAGGTTTTTATGAAATAAAACAATGAAACCAAGATAAATCATGTTAGATCTTTTTCCACCTTTAATATGATTTAGCAACCAACAAAATTTAAGTGAAAACCAAAGTTAAAAAAAAACCCTTACAATAACCTGGCTGCATAAGTGTGCACACCCCTTAACTAATACTTTGTTAAAGCACCTTTTTCTTTTAATACAGCACTCAGTCTTTTTGGGAAAGAGTCCACCAACTTATCTCAATTTGATTTAATAATTTTATTCCAATTTTTCTTACAAATTCCATATTGCACAGTTTTCAGATAGGAGTTAGACCTGGGCTGTGACTGGATCATTCCAAAATGTTGATCTTATTCTTTTGAAGCCATTCCTTTGTTGACTTGGATTTGTGCTTTGGGTCGTTATTGTTCTGGAAGGTGAAATGTTTCTTAATCTTCAGCTGTCTAACAGAGACCTGCAGGTTTTGTGCCAAAATAGATCAGTATTTGGAGCTATCCATGATTTCTTCTATCTTGACTAGAGCCTCAGTCCCAGCTTAAGCGCAGCCCTATAGAATGATGCTGACACCACCATGCTTTACTTTTGGTTGATAAGCTGTCTAGTGCTTCCATCAAATGTATATTTTAGAATTATGCTTAAAAAGTTCTACCTTGGACTGATCAGACCACAACACATTTTACCACATGGTTTGGGGTAATTTGTGCAGGATTGGATGTGTTTTTCATGAGAAAGGGCTTCCATCTTGCCGCCCTACCCCATAGCCCAGACCTGTGAAAAATATGACAGATTGTTGTCACATGCAGGGAGTGACCAGTACTTGCCAGATATTCCTGCAGCTCCTTTAATGTTGTTGTAGATCTCTTGGCAGCCTCCCTGATAAGTTTCTTCCTTGTCCTTCTGACTATTTTGGAGGGACGGCCTGTTCGATACCTTTCGACAATGAGATCCCGTACAAAACGCATCCCGTTCCATGGCTTCAGCAGCCGGATGAAACCAAGAAAATATTAAGAAAATCCTACAGAAAGAACAGATCTTTATTTGGGGTTAATCAGAATCACTTCATTGATCACAGGTGTATGATAATTACTTCTGAACATGAGTTTGGTTGTGTTTGGTTAATTCGGAACACACTCACATGCCCCATTATAAAGGGGTGTGCACACTTATGCGGCCAAGTTATTGTAAGTTTTTTCTTTTTCTTTCTAAAACTTTTCTGTCTGTTTTTGAATTTTGTTGGTTGCTATATCACATTAAATTAGAAAAAGATCTGATATGATTTATCTTATTTTAATTTTTTACATCACAAAATCTGCAATTTTAACAGGGGTGTGTAGACGTTTCTATATCCACTCTACCATACCGTAATAATAATGATTACGATGTTATAACAAAAACTGAAATGGAAAAAATCTAAACAAAACCCCAAGAAAGGATATCATCATTTATTATATCAGTTCGAATAAATGGGTGATTAATCTGTGTGCACTGAATGCATTTTTCTTGATGTACATGTAAGTTTACAGTGTTTTTTGAGCGGTGTTACAGTTGACCCATGATACATTTGTGCCACTTTGCCAGTACAGTTATAACATGAGACTCTTTTTGGTTTCATTGGAATTGTACGGTAGTCATTGGCGATATGGGAAACTTGATACAAGAAGCAAACGTGCATGATGTTATGCGGGAAGTGTGAAGTCTGTTATTTAAATCATCAGTGAGTAATTTAACTCAAGCCAACTCATGTTACAGTGTTTCTCTGCCAAGACAAAACATCGTTAAATGTTATAACGATATATTTTAGGTTGCTGTTGTTGATGACAGCGCTGATTGGTCGCATTTGTAATATTTGGAGTTTCTCTGCTATGATGATGCTCACAAAATTACTTACTGTTCAGCAGTGGATATGAAACAAAAATATACGGGCTGCAATGCAAAGAACACATTTAATGCAAACACACACACACACACAGTAGAGTTATTATACATATACTCTAGACTAGTGTGCAATTAAATATGAACACTGGGGAACAATTGTAGTATGATCCTGAATTGTGCTTTCATTATTGCCAGCAGTCATGGGGGGTATTTATTATTCTGCACCACACACACGCACACACACACACACACACACACACACGCACACAAAGAGAGAGAACAAATTAAATGAAGAGGTGTGCCAGAGCAGTCAGTGCCAACACATGCTTGCCAAATGCTTTTTTG